TGACTTAGCGGTTAAGTAGGTTAATGAGTTTTACACGGGCCTGTGTTGTAGTTGACTGCAGCTAGATCCTGCTTTAAATACACTTTGAAACCACGACAACGCATGTATATCTATCTAGTTATCATATTATAAACAATTTAATGACTTATATTCGTCATAACTTGTTGCGTATGCTGAACTGACAACTCCTGACTGTCGGACTTATTAATGGGCATGCGTACTCTGCATGTATGCTATCCTGACAGCATATGGCTATCTGATAGAACAGCGGCCTAGAGTTGGAAGACATTCATAGGATCTGTAGATATTTATATTAAATACTAAATACTGTTGAGATGAAACAAAGTGACATTAATCATTGAAGAGAATTTTAACATTTCATAGAGAAATGTCACTTATTCAAAACTCCACTTCAGTCAGAGTTAGTTACATTTGCTTGAGTAACTTCTTTGAAAAATTTATTTTCAGAAAAACTTTTCTACGCTTTACTTTTACTTGAGTAATTTTATTTTATTTTAGTTCTGAATCAATAAGCTTAATGTTTTTATTCTCCAGCTGTTTTACTAGCAGGTCATGTGGACGAGTGTCTCCTGAGATTTTTCTCTCAAAGTCTCAGATTCCTCAAAACACAAAATGATCAATTATTTTCCTCTCTATTCATTGATTCAACAAATCATTAATCATTTCAACATTTGATGCTAACTTGATTTAGAACATAAATATAAATTTAATAATTTTATATTCATGTTTTTATTGAAGTCAATATTTCAAACCTGTTTGTGTTTCCGTTTTAGGTGAGTGGAGGAGCGCCACCTAGTGGCAGCAGGATCAGTGTGAGGACAGAGAGGACACAGTCCTTCCCTCTAAAATGTCTCTTAGTGGGGAACACCAGGACCACAGGTGAGGTCATGACCTTTACCTGTGCAGGAAAGGTCAAAGTTCAGCAGTGGAATCACCAAACCGTCTCCGTTCACAGGAAGCTATCAGAACCAGAACCAGAACCTGGACCTGGACCCAGCCGTGTTTCCTTCAGCAGTAACAACTCAAAGAGGTGAGCTGGATCTAAGTGTTTTATTTTTTAAATGTTCATGTGAGCCCAACAAATATTACCTTTACAAAGTCGCCTTTTATCACCTGAAGAAATATTTTCCTCTAAATTTGACGATTTTATACAAATATATTAATGTGATTATTGGAAATCAATCCAGTCCTGCTGCCAACAACCAGGAGGCTTTTTATCACCAATCCATTTCTAACATGACCTTTTTATTAATTTGCAGGAGTCGTGCAGCTGAGCCCAGCTGTGTGTCATGGAAGAGCAACGAGTCAAAGGACTTTAATATTCAGTTTAAATCAGACCAGCCTCCAGCAGCAGAGAGTCGGGTCCAAAGGTTCTGTTCAATGTTCTACTGACATGATCATAAAATATACCAGTTCTGGTCACATTTGATTTTCTGTTTGTTTTTTAAAAAGTCATCATGACTGAATGTTTTTAGGGACTTTCTGGGTCTTTAGCAACGTTTGGGAGACATGAGGAACCTAGAAAACTCTGCAGCTGCAGAACAAGATGTGAAAGTTTATTAATAGGGAGAAAACATGTAATGATCTAAGAGCTGCATCAGCTGCTGCCATCTTAGATTTCAGCTCTGTGGAAACCACCTGTTGGAGCATTTTATGAATTTATCTAAAGAAATGCAGATACAATGTTGAGAATCTGTGGATAAACATTAGTGGAGCTCCAAGATTAAAACAGTTGATTCCTGTAATTCTCTGATTATGGAGAAAAATATGAATTACATAATTGTTTCCTTTTAAATTTACTGATTTTATTAAAAATTAAATCTGCCAGGGTATGAATAATTTTGGTCTGAATTCTAAAATCAGAGCTAATTTAATTGTTTCTGCATAAAGAAGGTGGATGTTTTATTCTGTTCTGGATATTTAAACCTGAACCAAACAGACTTTTGCTGCTGTCTTTCTCTCAGCGTTTCAGTCCCAATCATCAGAAAACAGATCCTAAAATATCTCAGTGTTCCTAGTTAAACACCGATGGAACCTGTGCTGCCGGTTTTAAGGTTTAGAAAACTAAAGAACTATGCAAAGCTAATTCTGCCTCCAATCTGCAGAGAAGCTTCATCTCAGTTTGTCTCTGTGTGGACAGACAGATTCTGGTTCATTTGTCCTGGTTCCTCCACAGAGAGGATCTGCAGAATTCAGAGGTTCCCACTGATCCGTCTGTCCAGCTGGACTCCATATTTATGGTCTGTACATCGGTTCTGTTCAGTCTGTAGACCAGAGGACTGTCAGTCTGTCCAGCATGGACCTGAAGTTCAGATCTAGTCTGATATCTTCTCATTCTGTTCCAGCTGCTGGAGGAAAACATTGTCACATTGGTGAAGAACGAGTTGAAGAAGATCCAAAAGGTTCTGAGTCCAGATGACCCAGAATGCTCAGAGGGACAGGGTGAGGATGAGGAGCAGAGGAGGAGCAGAGAGGCGGTGATGAAGATCACCCTGAACTTCCTGAGGAAGATGAAGCAGGAGGAGCTGGCTGACCGTCTGCAGGGTAAGAGGATTTCTACAACAATTCTGCTGTTATGTTGAATAATTAAAACATGATTACATGAGAAAATGAATTCAACTGAAATCAGACAAGAGAAACGAACAAATACAGAAAATCTTAATCAAACAGTCACATGATCTCAATGACGTTCTGGATTCAGCAGCTTTTTTATTTAAGCATCACCTGGTGACTGGTTGCTGCTCATGAAATATAAACTTTGGGAACTTTATATTTACCGTAAAATACTGTAAAAAACCAACATGGCAGCAATGCACAAGATAAAAACCCATTTTAGTTTTAATTCCTGCACCCAGTACATAAAAATGTTCCATTCAGCTGCAGATGAAGAACCTTCAGAAACACACAGACAGCTACCAAATTCACCCTGTGATGCAGCAGCGCCAACATTGAGGCCAGTAAATGATAAACTGCTGCTGATCTGCATGACATGAACTCTCCGACTGTCTACCGTCCATCTAGGGCTGAACACATGGACCGACCCATCGGTGCTGCTGGACCATCACTGCTTTTGTCAGTTTAATAGTTTTCCTGCTTGATAAATGCATATGTTCATCTGAGCTCTTATAGAAATACATTTTGAGAAAAATTCAGTCAAACTATATTACAGAGTAAACACAAAATGCAGTTTTGGGTTTTATGGCTTTTATGTCTAACCAACCCGACACCCATCCTGTCCCCATCAGTGATCTTAAAGCCATGCTGCCCTGGATGCTTCAGAATAATAATTAAAATCAAAAAACATTTTCATAATGTGAACAGTAGTAAACCTGTCTAATATATTAGCTGGGGCTAAATCCATCAACTGGAGCTAAAGTAAAATAAAAGAAATGGAAGATGATGATGAATATTTTGTTTTTATCAAAACTGAACAGGCAACAATATTTTCTCTTTTTTTATTTTTTTACATTTGAAAATCTCTCTGTGGGAAACGAGTCCCAACCTGGTTCATGGAACCCAAATAACTTAATTCTGGTCAGAGTTCACAATCATTTCATATAACATGATCAGCAGATGTTAACTTGTAGTCATTTTCCACCACACACTGCTAAAAGGAATGGCATTTCAATTGAAACACTTTGACAAAACTCTGAAGGTCAGAGGTCGCTCTATGGGAATCATGTCTGATTAACTGAAACCTTCAACCAGAGAAAAACCGTTTTAATGACCAAAACTGATTTAATCAAGTCTGTCCAGCAAGAACATTGTTTATTTATTTGCTTTTTTCTTTTATCCGTCGCCTCTGTGGGAGTTTTATTCAGAAAATCAGAATTATAATTTTATATTCCCTCAATGACTGAAATTGGAATTACTTTCAGGTTTAGACACCTTGGCAGAAAAATAATTAGTTTTCTGTAATTATTTTTCCATCATAGAAGTTCATACACAAACCCTTCTTAGAAAATCAGAAATGGTTTTTATTGGGTTTTTTCTTCAGATTTTAATGTTTAGTGTCAAAAGGAGCTGACGCTGAACAGGCTTTTGCTGCCTGGCAGCTGAATGAGGAACAGCTTATCCTGCTCTCTCTCGTCCTCACTGATAACTTTGGCTGTGAGTTATTTTTAAAGTCAGTTTTTATAATTATATTTACATTATTGACATCCTAACTGGATTACTTCAAACCTAAGGACTAGGAGGTTTTCTTACTTTGATTTTTATCTTACTGCTCTTCACCTCCAAGTTGAACCCAGGGAAAATGCCTCCGTCCGACCCCAGGGACATTAGCAGTATTATACAACGACTTCAGTTTTTAGAAACTAAGATTCAACGGTTGGAGGTGAACTTTGAGATCAATGCTACCTGTGGATATGAAACAACTCTTCCTCAAATCAGTGGAGAGGTCGTGCGCCCCGCACCAAGCAGCTCACCCTGGATCGCTCAGGGCGCCAAGCCGAAACAAAAGGCTCACACTGCAGATCCCATGAGACGACAAACAGGGAGAACTCCTCACCTGGATGAATCAGCGTGGCCGACTCTGAGCCAAAACCCACCTTCAACGTCAACACCTGCTCCGCCAAAGAACAGCAAACAAGCAGGTGGAACCAAAACGGCTCCACCGACCCCGCTCCCAAGGACAAAGCGACCAGCCCAAGCCTCAAAACATTCCGACTCTGTGGGAATTCCACTGAAAAACAGATTTTCTGCACTCCGGTCTGAGCCTCTGAGTGAAAACCCACCTTCAAACATCAACAATGAGGCTAAACCAACACATCCACCCCACAAAGCTCCGAAGGACAAAGTGACCACCAGGAAAATGAAA